CATTTGATTCCAAGGTGATTGGTCTTCATTGTTATTCACTCTTGTGATTGATTGGCTCCTTCCTCGATACGGCGGTATAACCTTCTTGCTCACTCACTTTACATTACCACAAACTAGTTATCAAGCTCTTTAGTGTAGCTAGTTGTGAGAGCTTGTTAGTTTGGTTAGTGTGGCTCTTTAGTTAGTTTTTGAGAGCACACTAACTTATGATAGTGTTATAGCTATTGTGTGGATAGGAACTATATAAACTAGAATTGTGGTAGGTGGCTTGTTTTTTAGTAGGCTAGCGCAACACTTGCTTCGCCTCATAATTGTCTAACCGGTTTGTTAAGTGTTGTTGTAGAAATTTTAATAGGCTATTCACCCCTCTCTAGCCATTAGGACCTTACAGGGGCGCACCGAGGGCGTACGCTGGCTAGTGTCGAGCTCGCATCACCGAGACAATGAGCTCTCGCCTGCTGCGCCGCCGCACGCTAAAGTAGCCCGCGAATTTCACGGTGGGCCCGACGATCCTCGGGTGCCACGGCCTCTAGAAGGCCATGGAGCAAAGCCATGGCGGCGGCGATGTTTTGACTTGCCCGAGCAAAGTGAGGAAGGGTTTCACCGTCGGCAATGATCCTTTGGTTCATGTCGCGGGCCACGGCACGCGCGCCCGCCATCTCCGCGGCGTCTGATCTCCTCGTCGACCTTCTCGTACTCCCGAACAAGCTGTTGTTCGGCTTCGTCTATTTCCCACTTTTGGGCTCTCAGCTGCTCCACCCCTATGTAAGGCGGGGCCACTGTCCTCCTTTCGGCCACGCCGCCGAGGTTGCCCACCGGGGTAGTCTCCTCCGCAGAGACGCTTTCGACGCGTCCCTCGGAGGTTTCCGCCATAAAACATTCCTAGGAGGGATGATGGCTCCCCCTACCGGAGTCAGAGCCAGAGTCTGACCCCGGGCCTTCCGCGAGGAGGCCATGGAGGGATTCTATGACGCTTTCGATCATCCCCACGAACCCGTTGTTCGCGGGGGACGGGATCACGCGTTGTGCCACCAGGTGGCTAGTAGTTGCCGCGGCGTTGTGGAGACCGAACGGAAACGCCGTTGGGGCGCTCCGTGCGGCATATTTCGGAGAGAGGGTGAGGCGGCGCGGGTCATCTCTGGACGGCTGGGGTCCAAGGGAGATGCCAGGCTGGCGCTCAAGCCTCCTGTAGCTGGAGCTGATGGAGGGAAGAGACTGGGCGAGGTGAGCCAACGCCAACTCTCCTCCCACCGTGACGATGAAGTCTAGGTCACCAAAACGCATGTGTGCGCTGGGGACCCAGCTGATTGCGTGGTTAGCCATCCGATGCCTGATTTGGAACATGCAAAGGCCCCTACCTGGCGCGCCAACTGTCGGTGTTTCGAACAAACACCGGCTAGTGAATTTATAATTATTGCGCGTTAGGCCCAGATGGTGCACTAAAGGACACAAGGTTTATACTGGTTCGGGCTGAATGTCCCTACGTTCAGTCTGCTGCTGCTGCTCGTGTTATTAGTACCAAAAAAGGTTCGTAGTAGGGGGTACAAAACAGTCGAGAGAGGGAAATGTCCCAAGTCTCTGAAGGAATGGTCGAAAGGATGCCAAGAGCTTGGTCGCTGCTTGGCCGTATGCGTGATGTGTTGTGTGTTGAACTGATTCGTCCAAAGTCGGTCTCTCCCCGTGGGGGGGGGGGCTGCCCTCCCTTTTATAGACCAAGGGGGGAGCAGGGGTTACAGATGAGAGAAAGAGGAAAATACCAAAGGTATAGAAGGTCATTCGAGGGAGCCGTGTCTTGCTTTTTCCTTGTTCTTGCCCTGCTTAACACGGCAGATCACGTCAGTGGTGGCGTGTTTGCTGATCCTCGTAGGCCATAACCTGGCCCCATTTCGCAAGTGGGTGCGTCCCATCCTATGCCGACGGATGGTGCGACGTGCCGGAGAGCCGAGCTGTGACTCCTCGGGGAGTAATTGGGGAAGTGACCACACGCCCGTCACTGTAGATGATGTGAGTCCTGTCTTGGACCGTAGTGGCTGTCGTATGCCTGTGTTAGTATCCGCGCCCGAAGGCTGAAGGCGGCGCCTACTACACTGTGGGACAAAAGTCGGCGCCCACAATACTATTCGAGCACTGCTATGATGGAAGGGGCGGAAAGCACCCATCCCATCGTAGTCTAACAGTACTTTCCTGTAGGCGCGCGGGGTATGGCCCTTGATATCATGGTTGACTCGAATGTCCCGTCGGACCCTATGCTCGTCTTTATGAAGAATCAGGATGCGGTCATGGGGCGAGGCGGAGCTAGCCCTCAGGCGTCGGGCGAGGCAGAGTCTTGCCCTCGGGGGTTGGGCGAGACGGAGTCTAGCCCTTCGCAGTCGGGTGAGGCGGAGCCTGCCCTTAGCCATCGGGTGAGATGGAGTCTAGCCCCGGGGTTCGTGTGGGGCGGAGCCCGTCCTTGGACGTCGGGCGAGGCGGAGCCTCACCTTTAGCCATCGGGCGAGACGGAGTCTAGCCCTCGGTGGTCGGGCGAGGCGGAACCAGTCTTCCATCGTTCGGGCAAGAAGCGCAGTAGTGCTCTTGCCTGACCGGAAGTGTCAACGTTCGATGGTCATTAGTTCCACCTCATTGGGTACCCCGGTATTAGGTCCCCGACACATATGTTTGTAATGGCTACACACGTGTTTTCAAGTTTTTTCTGGTGTTTTGCAAGTGTTTTAGTTGTTTCGGACGTATGGTGCAAGTGTTTTATCTGGATGTTGCAAAAGTAGATTGTGTGTTATAATGCGTGTGATAAGCGGAGGGGGTGTGAGTGGTACCTGCGCGCGGTCTGGCGGCACAGGCGTCGTTCGGGCGGCGTGGGCCCCTCATGGGTGCGCGAAATGCAGACCCGAGCACGAGAAACGGGAGTGCAGCACGGGACACGAACGCTGGCGTTCGTCCGGACTTGCGGATGCTAGCACTGCCCTTTTGTTTTCTCGGATGTGTGGGAAGCTGAAAAGGCCAGTGCGAATTTGAAAGAAAAATGAAGTGAAACCACGATTGGACTAGGAGCCCGTCTGCCTCCAAACGTTTGGAAAATGCTAATCCCAGGTAATGAATGAAGTCCAATATTCCATAAAGCTGCTCTCGCTCGTTCCTCCCAGGTAACAAAAGATAGACTCATAGGGCGTGTTCGGCTGGCTTGTTCCGCCACTTATGAAATCATTGTTCATGTCCTGTCGAACAATATTTTTCTCTCACAATAATCAACCGGAACAGTATTTTTTAGTCCTGCGGAATAGGCCCATAAGTGACAACTAATACTGCAACTAAAAATGTATTACAGTTTTTTAAAGTAACGCTAAGGTTTGTTTGGACGGTTGGGTAATAATAACAATAACTAGCGGTGGTTAAGTTACTTCCTCGAGGACACATAAGTAGATTCACAAACAAAACAGTAACTTATTGTCGCATATCATTTTGAACCTAAGAAAAGTAAGATCCTCAATGATCAGATCCAAACATTCGTTTTGTGAATTTGTTTTCCTTTCATCATCGATCGCAAAAAGGATCACAATTGGGTAGTGGATTTTTGTTTGCGAGGGAGTTAATGTATCTATCAAAAAAAAAGGCTCCGTTCGGCTTACCTTATAATCCGCATTATTCAGCTTGATTTTTCAGGCGGAACAATATTTTTCTCTCACAACAATTCAAACCGAACGTGTTTTTTCTCAAAATTAATTCAGATAAGTTTCAGTGTTTTTTCTCAAAACCGAATGGGCCAAAAATGCTTTTGCTTTTGCAAATATATCACCTATTCATTTGGTTTAAACAACCAAGGCAAAAAAATTTGCTTTTGCAAAGATATCGCCATTTGGCGTGAGAAAAAACTTTAAAAAAATTACGACTTATAAGTCTAAAAACAAATTATTATTAGGGTGATTATCAAGTACCACAAGACACGGATTCCACTTCACCACCATTTCACACCATCTTTTATCTTAAATAAACACCCTAGATGGGCCGTTTGGCCGAGCTCTGCTCCGCGTGCTCCTCTACCAGAGCTGGAGCCGGAGCCGGAGTGTCGAAGCCCCATTTCATGGCTCCGCATGTCGTACCATAAAATGGCTTCTCTTCACCTGTTTTTGGCCAGAAGGGCTCCTCCTCTCAGCAACGTTTAGTGCGGCTCCGCTGCCGGAGCCAGAGCCGGAGTTGTGCAGGAGCCACACCAAACAAGCCCAAAATTGGATGATGCCGTATATCAAGCTAATTTGGTATGGTTATACGAGCAATCTCCTGAATAGAGTATTAAGAGGTCCATGGCGCCGCCACCCAGCTCCACCAGCTGCTCGCCGTAATCAAACATGGAGTCCACACACATACACATAGGTTGTCTCCTTCCTAGTATAATAGCCTAGGTGCTTTGGTCTTTAGTGAGGGCTTAAGCTTCATTCAAATCTGTTATAGCCCGCCCCTTTAGCGTTGTACTGTAAACTTCTTTTTCCTGAGTATAAAGACGCGCAAGCATTTTGCGTGTTTGAGAAAAAAAGAGTATTATGTGGTTGTAATATGGGTAATTTTCAAGTTGTAGTTTGGTTAGGCCAGTCTCGTGCTCTGCTCTTGTTCTCTAATAAAATATCCTTTTATTCGATTTTTGATGAGTTGCCTGTTTTTAATACAGAAATACAGAATCATATAGCAAAAAACAAAAAGAAAATCGTTTCAAAAAAACAAAAAGAAAAAGAAAGAAAGAAAAAAACTCAGCGTGTCAGGACTCAGGACTTCAGCGTGGCGGCATCTGGCATGGCACCGAGCCGCAACCGCAAGGCCCGCAACGGTTCGGTCGGGCCCTGCCTCCGTCCGATCTGATAAGCCGCCGAATTTCCCCACCGTTCGAGCGCCGCCCGCCCGCCCCACCGCCCAGGCGCCCACTCTAAAACCCTAGATCTCCCTACCCTTGTCCCCCAACCCCGACCCCGCCGCCGCCTCAGTCGCCGGAGGAGGAGGGGCGCCTCGCCGCAGCAGCCATGTACCTCTACAACCTGACGCTGCAGCGCGCGACGGGCGCGGTGTGCGCCGTCATCGGCAGCTTCAGCGGGCGGGACTCGAAGAAGTCGGCCGCCTCCGTGTCCGGGTCCGGCTCCACGCAGGAGATCGCCGTGGCCCGGGGCAGCACGCTCGACCTCCTCCGCCCGGACCCGGAGACGGGCCGCCTCCGCACGCTCCTCTCCGTCGACGTCTTCGGCGCCATCCGCTCGCTCGCGCAGTTCCGCCTCACCGGCGCCAACAAGGACTACCTCGTCGTCGGCTCCGACTCGGGCCGCCTCGTCATCCTCGAGTACTCCCCGGACCGCAACCGCCTCGACAAGGTCCACCAGGAGACCTTCGGCAAGTCGGGCTGCCGCCGCATCGTCCCCGGCCAGCTCCTCGCCGTCGACCCTAAGGGCCGCGCGCTCTGCATCGCCGCGCTCGAGAAGCAGAAGCTCGTCTACGTCCTCAACCGCGACGCCGCCGCGCGCCTCACCATCTCGTCCCCACTCGAGGCGCACAAGTCCAACACCCTCACCTTCGCCCTCGCCGCGCTTGACTGCGGGTTCGACAACCCCGTCTTCGCCGCCATCGAGCTCGAGTACGCCGAGTCTGACCGCGACCCCACGGGGCAGGCCGCCAACCAGGCGCAAAAGCTCCTCACCTTCTACGAGCTTGACCTGGGGCTCAACCATGTCTCCCGCAAGGTCTCTGAACCGATTGATAATGGCGCCAATCTTCTCGTGACTGTCCCTGGTGGTGGTGACGGTCCGAGCGGGGTTCTCGTGTGCTGTGACAATTTCGTGCTGTACCGGAACCAGGGTCACCCAGAGATTCGTGCTGTGATTCCACGCCGTGCTGACCTCCCTGCTGAGCGGGGCGTCCTCATTGTTGCTGCCGCACCACACAAACAAAAGAGTATGTTCTTCTTCCTGCTACAGACTGAGTATGGTGACATCTTCAAGGTTGACCTTGATCATAGTGGGGATACTGTTAGTGAGCTCAGGATCAAATACTTTGACACCATACCAGTGACATCAGCTGTCTGTGTGCTGCGATCTGGTTTCCTCTTTGCTGCTTCTGAGTTTGGCAACCATGCACTTTACCAGTTCCGTGATATTGGTAGAGATGCGGATGTCGAGTCCTCTTCTGCAACACTGATGGAGACAGAGGAGGGATTCCAGCCAGTTTTCTTTCAGCCAAGGGCATTGAAGAACCTCATGCGCATAGATGAGATTGAGAGCCTCATGCCAGTCATGGACATGCGTGTCGCGAATTTATTTGACGAGGAAACACCCCAGTTGTTCACTGCCTGTGGCCGTGGTCCACGCTCCACGCTGCGCATCCTGAGGCCTGGCCTTGCCATCAGTGAGATGGCCCGATCAATGCTCCCTGCCGAGCCTATTGCTGTGTGGACTGTCAAGAAGAATATCAATGACATGTTTGATGCTTACATTGTTGTGTCCTTTACTAATGTAACACTTGTGCTCTCTATTGGTGAGACCATTGAAGAAGTCAGTGACAGCCAGTTCCTGGACACCACGCACTCCCTTGCAGTCACGCTCCTTGGTGAGGACTCTCTAATGCAGGTCCACCCAAATGGCATCCGGCACATCAGGGAGGATGGTCGTGTCAATGAGTGGAGGACGCCTGGAAAGAAAACTATTACAAAGGTTGGATCAAACCGTCTCCAGGTGGTAATCGCTCTTAGTGGTGGAGAGCTCATCTATTTTGAGATGGACATGACTGGTCAGCTCATGGAGGTGGAGAAGCAGGACATGTCTGGTGATGTTGCGTGCCTGGCCATTGCGCCGGTCCCTGAGGGGAGGCAAAGGTCAAGATTTCTTGCTGTAGGATCCTATGATAACACCATCCGTATCCTCTCACTGGACCCTGACGATTGCTTGCAGCCTCTAAGTGTCCAGAGTGTATCATCGGCACCGGAGTCACTTTTATTCTTGGAGGTCCAGGCCTCTATTGGTGGTGAGGATGGTGCAGACTATCCAGCCAATCTTTTCCTCAATGCTGGTTTGCAGAATGGTGTACTTTTCCGGACCAACGTCGACATGGTTACGGGTCAGCTATCGGACACACGTTCTCGATTCCTTGGCCTGAGACCTCCAAAGCTATTCCCTTGTATAGTTAGCCACAGGCAAGCAATGCTCTGCCTGTCCAGCCGTCCTTGGCTGGGTTATATACATCAAGGCCATTTTCTCTTGACACCATTGTCCTGTGATACGCTCGAATCTGCAGCATCATTTTCTTCTGATCAGTGCTCAGAAGGTGTAGTTGCTGTTGCGGGAGATGCCCTACGTATTTTCACCATTGAGCGCCTGGGGGAGACTTTCAATGAGACGGCTATCCCTCTACGCTACACCCCAAGGAAGTTTGTGATTCTACCAAAGAAAAAATATATTGCTGTCATTGAGAGTGATAAGGGTGCGTTCAGTGCAGAAGAGCGAGAAGCTGCTAAGAAAGAGTGCCTTGAGGCTTCTGGTGCAGCGGAGAATGGAAATGCGAATAATGGTGATCCAATGGAGAATGGTGATGGTCAAGAAGATGGTGCTGAGGGTAACACGTTTCCTGATGAACAATATGGTTATCCAAAGGCTGAATCTGAGAGGTGGGTTTCCTGCATTAGGATCCTTGATCCAAGGAGTAGAGACACAACCTGTCTGCTGGAATTGCAGGAAAATGAGGCTGCTGTCAGTATTTGCACTGTGAATTTCCATGATAAGGAGCACGGAACTCTACTGGCTGTTGGCACTGCCAAGGGATTGCAGTTCTGGCCAAGGAGGACCCTTGCTGGTGGATTCATCCACGTATATAAGTTTGTGGACGAAGGGAGGTCACTTGAACTTCTACACAAGACACAAGTGGAGGAAGTACCTCTTGCGTTGTGCCAATTCCAGGGACGATTACTTGCAGGTGTTGGTTCAGTGCTCAGACTATATGATCTGGGGAAGAGAAAGTTGCTCAGAAAATGTGAAAACAAGCTTTTTCCGAGGACAATAGTGTCTATTCATACCTACCGTGATAGGATCTATGTTGGTGATATGCAAGAGGTACGCTGTCAATCTTCGTTCTGTTCTGCTGAATTCCCTTGATTGTCAGTTCTTTCACATGGATGTGCTTTCTAAGGTTGACAACATGTTATAGTTGTCAACCCCTTAGACCTAGTTATGGCGTTCACAGTGATTTCATTTGAAGTATGTGACACATTTTTTGTATTTAATTAGATTTAACAGCATATGATCTGTTCAATTTACTAGTGTAGGAGCTTGAAGCGAATTGTCTGACATACTTGAATCATGTAGAATACTGTATATATAACATGTATCTGTATCTCCTAGAGTATTTTTCATATTTTTTTCCTTTGTGTTTTCTGATATTTTGTTGTAGGATTACCTCTAATATTGATTGACTGGGTTCCTTATGACCATTGTTCAGCTTATGCAGTAGCATGTCATTCACCAGATCCCCCTTGGCTTCCTTCCTTTATCTCTGATATACTTTCTGTATGGTGCCATTTTCTTTTGCAGTCATTTCACTATTGCAAGTACAGACGAGATGAAAACCAACTCTATATATTTGCTGATGACAGTGTTCCCAGATGGCTTACAGCAGCACAACACATAGATTTTGACACTATGGCTGGAGCAGATAAGTTTGGGAATATATATTTTGCTCGTCTTCCTCAGGATCTCTCAGATGAGATTGAAGAAGACCCAACTGGAGGCAAGATTAAATGGGAGCAAGGGAAGTTAAATGGTGCCCCTAACAAAGTTGAGGAGATTGTGCAGTTTCATGTCGGTGATGTTGTAACATGTTTGCAGAAAGCCTCTTTGATTCCTGGTGGAGGTGAATGTCTTATTTATGGGACTGTGATGGGCAGTGTGGGAGCACTGCTTGCATTCACCTCCAGGGAAGATGTTGACTTCTTCTCTCACTTGGAGATGCATCTCCGCCAGGAGCATCCACCATTATGTGGAAGAGATCACATGGCTTACAGATCTGCTTATTTTCCAGTGAAGGTAAAATGTTCCTTGCATTGGATTTGTGAACCAGGCAATATATATACTCTGATTCTAATATTCTATAATGTCACCAAGTGCATTATGTTAGCATGAGAAAAGGCTGATCTAGCATTCTTGTGGCAGCCTTGCACAAATAGTTAGTTGTGCTCTTGACTTTGTAGCAGTCTAACCTTGAAAAACCATTGGAACCCAGTGCATGGGTAATGGATGGTTCCCACACTGCACACATATAGAATAGCACCATAAATTTAGGGCGCATCCAGTGCAAAGAGCTCCCGCGCTGTGTGGGGTCTGGGGAAGGGTGTCAGTGGCAAGCCTTACCCTCGCCTGTGCAATGCGAGAAGACCGCGACTCGAACCCGGGACCTTCCGGTCACAGGCGGTAAGAGACTACCGCTTGCACCAGGCCCGCCCTTCACCACCATAAATTTAGCAAATGGAAAATTCATTTCCACTGGACTTGGTATAAACTCGCATGTCATATTGAGTAACTTGATGAAGTCTTATGAGCCCCTCTAGCATGGCATTGACGTTCTTGGTTTGCGATTAATGCATATATATTTAAGTTATATTCGGATTGTTCACTTCCTGTAGTTGCAGTGAATTAGAGTCCAGTGGTTCTACTTAATGTCATGACAACACAGGTCTTCACTACCTGCACTGAACTTGACTTTTGTCAGCCAGTTAATTTCTTGTATGTAAGCTACTACTCCCTTGGGGGTCGTTTTAGATTTGATCTAAGTCAAGCAATTTTAACTTTGACCACTCATAGCTGGAAATGTAAATAGGTTTACAACATAAGGTTGATGCTACTAGATTCATCAAGAAAAGTAATTTCACAATATATAGTATCTCTGTTGAAATTTGTTTTCATAGAAATTGCCAGTCAAAGTTTCACCTTGTGGAGTGTAGACTATCAATGCCATAAATGACTTACATTTGGAATCAGTTGGAGTTTATGAAAACCATGCTGATGTGGGTTGCAGCTCATTCACATTAGCCCATGACTTTAATTTATTTGTTTGTTGTTACAGCTGAACTGCAAATGCAGTTTGAAACATGCTGTTACTGATGTGATGTCCGTTACAGGATGTGATAGATGGTGATCTCTGCGAGCAGTATCCCTCCCTCCCAGCTGATATGCAGAGGAAGATTGCTGATGAGCTGGACAGAACTCCTGGTGAGATCCTGAAGAAGCTAGAAGACATGAGGAACAAAATCATCTAAGCCCACGGCTTAGTGTGAAGGAACTGGTCTGGGAAATGCAACTGTCCGGTGCTCTTTGCTTCAAGGCTGTATCCAGTTCGAGCCGTTGGGCAGCACTTCAAGATGTGACACAGCATTCAACAAGTTTGGAGCACGCTGATCTGTACAATCTTTCCTGATGCTAACTGGTCCATGGTCTAGTCCGCGTTTTATAGCTGAGATAGAGCATGTACGGCACCAGAATGGTTTTTTTGTATCTCGTAGAAGTGATTTAGCTGATGTCATTGACTGTTTGTTACTTGGCTTGATGTAATTGAGTGAAGTTATTCCTGTTGGATATTCGTGCAGTAGGCGGTGGCTACCTTGGTAATGTACCATAGATTTTTGAAGTGTAGATGCGTGCTGTCATTGCTTTTTCAGATTGTTCAGCTGATGGAAATCCTCAATTGCTGCATCTGCTCGGTTCATGCGTTTCAATCAGAACATATAATTTACATATATAGAGCATTCTTAAACTCATGCACACATATGTTCATGGTTCCAGAAGCAAAGCAGCGTAGGTTCGCAATACTGGAGCCGATCATCATTGACGGCAAAATGACGTGTGTGAGCAGACGCTAGGATTTTTGCCAGTAGCCGGTGCATGTAACCTGAATTCCTGTAGAAAACAAGAGCCACAACAGCCAGTGTCTTACCAAAAGTGAATTTTGATGACGTGTGTGAGTAGGCGCTAGGATTTTTGCCAGTAGCCGGTGCATGTAACCTGAATTCCTGTAGAAAACAAGAGCCACAACAGCCAGTGTCTTACCAAAAGTGAATTTTCGTTCTGGTGGTGAGATGGCTTCGTTCTGGTGATTTATGAAATAGGGCATAGGTTGTGGTGATTTATCTAGTTCTGTATTTCTGTTCAGGAGAGGCAGTAAGCTGAAGCTTTCTCCTTGTGAGCGTCGCTCTTTACCAGTGAGGATGGATCACTGCATACTTCACCTCTAATAAAGCTGCTTCTCTCTGTCACTGTAGACGTGTAAAGCCCAAAACTCTGAATCAGAGAGCACAGTCAACTATATCTTACGTCGAGAGCACAGGCAATTATACCCCAGGACGGAGGGGTAACCTCTAGAGTTGTCTTAAAAAAAAAACTCGACCCACAGGCTAAGACAGTCCCGCGTATTGTCCTTAAGAAGAAGACTTTCTCATGCAAATCGAAAAAACCTTCGAACCTTTGCCCCACCCATACACAGTGGCACCGTAGCTCCCGTGAGACTGGACTGACCTTAGACCTATGCTTTGGCGTGGGACAGACGAGAAGATTTTTTTTCAACGCGCAGATAAACCACGCTTCCTCCGGCCAACAAATCCGCTTCAAGGGGGTTCGAACTCTGGCCAGCAAGGTGCAAAACGCACAGCTAGACCAACTGGTCTAGCGTTCGCTTGCACCTCTAGAGTTGTCATAAATTAACTACCTCTCCATTCTAAATTATAAGCCATTTTAATTTTTCTAGATACTATATTTAGCGTAGTATATATATATGTAGTCATTTTGATTTTTCTAGATACATATATTTAGACGTAGTATATGTCTATATAAATATAACACTATATATATATATATATATATATAAAATCAAAAGATTTACAGTTTGATAATTCGGAACGAGGAGAAAGTAAACTCTATCGAAGCTCACTCCCCGGGGCCACCCGCAGCTCGCGACGAGCCAACCCACAGCGGGTGCAGACAGACCCAGAGTCGGTCCACGGAACACGGTCGACAAGCCTCAGGTGCTTTCCCCGCCTATTTCACATTCACTTCCTCGGTTGCTCAGCCTCCACCAAACCCCAAGCCCCAGATCGGAAGATCGCCCACGTCCCGCTTCTCCCCGCTGCCGTCCATGGCCGCCGCTTGCCGTCGTACGGCTGATCCGGTCGTCCCATCATCACCACCGCATCCCTCACCTGTCAAGGATGTCGGGGCAGATTCACCGCAGCGGCGCCAACGGGCAGCCGGTGGAGGATACGGCTGGCCTCATCCCGGTGATGGACCAGCTGCGTACCACCATGCGCATGAGGATGTAAGTTTTTTTTTTTACTGTCCAGCGTTGACTCTACCGATCACAGTCGTCATGGTACTAGTTCTGCTCAGTTTTTCCTTCTATGTATGTGTTTCACTAAGGTTTAGAGAGGAGAGTAATTTTACTGGATTGGTGAGGCACCTCTGGCTGAACTACATCTTTGTCCTCTCATATTAACCTTTTTATGCCACAAGAGTTATTTCCTTTCCGTAACTAGTATAGTGCCCGTGCTAACACCACGACTTCATTCTAAGGATGCACTTGAAAACAACCATTTTCAACCAAACGACGACATTTTTTCCATAGTTTTTAGTCGCACGTAATTGTATATCACCATACATATAATCCGGAATACACTCATGCATAAGAAGGCATAATAAAGTCATGTCTCGCATACTACAAATAAGTTCTGAATTGCTTAAGTAGATCTTGGAGTTCTCCGGGCATAATGTTTTCACATTCATGGAAACAACCAAAAGTGTTAGGAAGCTAAATGCAGCACCAATTTTTTTCATGTAAAAGAAAAATGACAAGGTTGCAATTGAACAGTTAAGACAGCTTTCCTAACATCACGAACCATTAGTTCTTGTGGCATGATGGATGAGTTCAGAGTAGATAGAATAACAGGGAATCACATCACAGACATACAAATGTACATGTCTCAAGAACACGTCAAAACTACACTAAACATTTGACGACTTTTGATAATTCCTAGCAACTATTTCACCCTTCAACATAGTAACCCAGGTACCTCAGATGTCTTCCGATTCCGTCAATGGAAACAAAGACCAAGCTTATTTGTTGTCACCTGTCTACTGTATGGTTCTTGGAGCTACAGGCAAATGAAACAAGTATTACTTCCTTTTGCAGGCTAAAAATCAATTCTAACTACCTGATAATTCTCAATTCTAGCCACCTGATAAATTTACAAGCATTTTGCAGGCTAAAAATCAATTGCATGACAGATTCTGCTTCTCACTGAAACTTATGATCTGTATATACCTGATAAATGCATTACTTCCTTTTTTCCTTTAGGAGGTAACTCCTATGAAAATTACAGGGCTAAATATATAGCAAGGATCTTCAGAAACAAGCACCAGTTGAACTTACTACATTGAGGGGTGATCAGAGATGGAGTTGGGTACTTCTACTCAATGACTTGGGTGATCACTTCAGAATTAGCAATCCATTTGCCATCAGCACCGTTATACACATGCACCTTACCCTCTGGGCTGATCTTCCGAAACCTGAAAAAGGTCCTACAGTAGGTTAGATGTAAAAATCACAAACACACAAAACCCCAGAGTCCAAATGGGCTAAATTACACCCTTGGCTCACTGAAATTTTCATTTGCTGCAAAATCTTCTCCCATGGTTAAATTTTCAGAAGCTGCAAAATCTTCTTCCATCTTCAAATTTAGAAATAGCTAGCAACCTATAGCATATCATGTGCATATATATGCAGAGAGCAAGCCATTTAACCAATTTTCTGTCTGTACAATTTTTCAATCTCTTATAGGCCCATCTAAGAACAAATTTTCTGCTGCATATATAGATCTGAACTTGCAGCCGATTGTAAGCTGCATAGTAAAACTTTCGGAAAAAAATCAGAGTGAGTGAAAAAAGGAAGCTAGAGATACCTGCAGATAGCCTTGGACCTCATCTTCAACTTTGTTGCCACCATTTATCCAATTTTCAATCTTTACAATTTGCATTCGCTTAGAGCTGGAACTGAGAAGCTAAGACTTACTCAACTTTGCAGAACTAATACTGACGCCACCATAGCCTGCTGCAGCCATCTAATTTAAGAAATGACAGAGATTGTTTCTCTGAAACAAACCTAATAGGTCATCCTATAGAATTATAATCAATTGCATCGACAGCGACCACGTACCCAACCGAGATGGCGCCAAGGTGGAATATACTGCTTCTGTCATTTTAACATCTGTGCAACCGGATATAGGTTCTACATCACATGGTTCTGGGTGTATAAAAATTAAGCGTGTTACTCATTTCGATGCATAAACAAAGAAGAATAGTATACATGATCAGATTGCGGATACCATGATCAGGAGTCGACGAGTCGTTAGTATTGCCGGTGTTTTTTTTCCTTGCACAGTATTGACGTTGCTTTCTATTCCGCTCCTCTTTGTTCGGTGGTTTCCTCGGCCCTTTTCCGTGCGCGGTATTCACGTTGTTTTCTATTCCTTTCTTCCCTCTTTTTTCTCTCTTCATCATCTGCAGGTTCACCTTCACGTATATAATGTGTGTCACAGTTTCGCAAAAAAATCTGAGAAACTGACCAGGAACCATGGCAGCTAACATACCCCGTCCAATGATGTTTGATATGTCGCTAAATGCAGGGCGGGTTGGTCGTCTATCCCCCATGACAGACCACCTAAAAATTTGACTTTAATAAACAAATAATAATGTAAGGATCAGAATTGTTACAAATCATATATTAGAAGGAATAATGAACAAATATTGTCTTGGTTGCATAATAATCTAAGGATCGGAATTGCTACAAAATACTGTGTATCTCAGATATAACATGCTGTCACCCATACAGAACATTATTTGGGTCATACATTGCTGATGTCCAGATTGCTGATGGTATAACTAATTAGCTAGATAACAGAGCATCAATCCTTAATTAATTCAGCACACTCAATGCTGATTTCTGTTGGAAGGTAGAACATTGGCAATCTGGAAATTGTAATGACAGTGGAAGTTGGAAAGTGTAAAAAAAAATACGTTGGCAGTGCAGCTCTCTCCATCATAGCGGCAATGTTGGACAACATGTTCAGCTAGAAAGCCCTCAAACATAAGTGTTCAAAGCAAAGCATAGCTATAGAAGATGGCATCAGATTTTGGACATTCATACTTCAGAAAAAATACTGAAACTTAAGCCGCAGAAGACAAGTCTCAGAATGGACTATGCCTACTCCCAGCCTTGGGCAGTCGGCTGGGTTGCTTGGTCCCAACCAGTAGGAGCAAGCAAGAAGATGAGGAAATTCTAAAATGAGCAGGTAACAGTATATACCAGGAGCAACACCCCAATCAGCACCAGTAGGAGCAACAGGCGGCACAGCAACATCAGAGGTCCACTGGTCACCACCCCACTGATCAGCTCCTTGGTAATCAGTGATTGCGGCAAACTCAGGGGCCGCGGCAGCTTCCTCCTGCAAACAACATTATCATATAAGAATGCAAAGGTTACCAAAAAATCTGGATCCATGACATTTCCAATGTCATTTTGAGCAGAAGTGGGAGGTCATGACCGTAGCAAATAATAAGAAACAATGTGCTCCAAATCGATAACATAACAACATTAAATCAGCCAGTAGCAGTAGTACAGACCAAATATTCAGATTATCAGAAGTGTAGAAAAGCACTGAAGCACCCCCAAAAGAAATAGGCCTTGTCCTTTGCCTACAACGTGAGATAACATTGCATCCATATATTTGATACCAGTAAAGCAGATAATCAGCCTCTGATCTGAGACTATACCTCTACTTCCTGTTAAAAATAGGATAGAAAATTAAAAATCAAATGATTTAAACTGTCAGAAAACAACATGTTGCCCAGCTACGAGCAAAGGACAACGCCCCTTTTGTGATATGATTTTCTTACTGTATTTTGTTGATCAAGTGGTGTGATTGCACACACTTGACACTTGTTAATTTTTTTTGAGGCCACCGTGCGTACTAAGGGCCGTAGAAAAGTAAGATAGGCCTATAACCAAGATACAAGGCTCACTTGTTTATTTGTTTATTAGGTGAGACATTTCATCAAACGAAATGTGGGCGAGTAAACACAAACATGTGGGCGAGTAAACACAAAGGGAGAATTATATATTTGGCATTGAAACAAATCGGTCTTTCATATTTGGCGCTAGAAAATTTGAACTTCCTTAACTAGCATCGATTTGAAATTTTCTTCTATAAATGGCACTGCCGTCCATTTCGACCAGGCATCTGTTAGTTGACTGTGTTCAACTTGTCAGTTCATTTCGAGGGAGACCAAAATACCCCTGCCCCTCGGCACGCGCCGTGTCACGCAGGCAGAGGCAGAGGAGGGATCGGCCGGCGGTGGCCAGGGCCGGCCGCGCACGCCCCCACGGCCCCACGCGTGCCCTCACGCGGAGGATGCGGGGCGGCCGCGGCCGTCGGTTGCAGATCGCGCAGCAATGGACGCGGGGTGCCCATGCCCGCTGGATGTCCGACGCGGCGCCTAGCCCGTGCCCGTGCCGGTGCCAGCGCCACTGCCCCGCCAGATCCTCTGCTCGCCAGGAGTCGCTGGAGGCGGTGGAGGAGCAGGAGGCCCGATACGGAAAAGCCGGATGGACGAGGGGTGCGCAGCCGCGGAGGACATCGCCGTCTACCAGGGCCATGACGACTGCCTCCACAACGACGGTCAGCCATTGCTCGGCGGCGAGACAAATCTCCTTCGAGTACGCCAACGCGTTCCCGTCCAAGCTCTCCGTCCGTGTCGCCACCTGCATCGACCCCACCATGCCAACTACATTTAGGCCTGCTTCCATCTCCATTCAAGCGCAAGTGGTGTTTGATGCCGAGAAGGTACAACACTATCATCTACCCTCCTCACTCCAATGGAGTTGCTGCGTTTGGGCCTGTCTCTGTCATTCAAGAGGCCCATGAGGTGTTTGAGGAAATGGCTAAGCATATTTTAGAGATACCGTGGCCACCTCCCATGCATATGTCAAACATGCTATGTACTGAATGTGTGCCCTCAGCTCAATCCTTGGTTGACAAGAGCATACAGAGCTGTTTCTCGCCTCCATCCTGTCGTAGCTGGGATGCAGTGCCGCATAGGCAACCATGGCCGCCACCGGAGCAGTTTGGGACGCAGGGCAATGGAGTTCAACTTAGGCCAACACCCTGGCCATCTTTCATTGGTAATACAGTTCAAGTGGCAGACCTTATCAAAGTGGCCTGGATGTCAAGCATTGGCCTGGACCACAGGCCGTCACCTACAAGAGCGCAGGAGCACCAGCTGGAAAGATCATCAAACAACAGAATACAAACAGGTTTCCTTCCTCTCTCTCTCTCCACTGTTCATCTTCCTCCCAAATCCTTGAGCTCCTACTGCTGTTCTTCTAATTCCCCTCTATTCTCTACAATCCAGCTACAGGTTGCTAACACGAGAGCGACCACCACACGTTGAGGTTGGTGAGCATGAAGGTGGCTTTCCACGCCACCGGCACGCGCGGCTTGAGCGCGGCGCCGGCAGCGTACATGGCCAGGTGCGGCGTGATGGTGCCGAAGAAGGCGATGGCCACGGCCTTCTTGCCGGACTTGACGATCATGCCCAGGTCCGTCTTCACGCCGATGACGAAGATTTGCAGCATGAAGGCGTACCCGCCGATGGTGGTTATCTGCACCCACCCCTCCGGCATGGCGAAGAGTTCACCGCCGTGCGGGAGCATCCGGCCGAGAAGCGATGGTCCCAGCAGCGCGCTGGCCAGTGTACACGCACGCAGACGACGCAGCACAACACCTCTATGGAGTTAGCACGCCGGCCGGCCGTGACGACGACAGTGTTTGGGCGTCACGCCGGCGGGAAAGCAGAATAGGCTCTTTCCAAGTTATACTCCTAATTCAGTACGGTCTACGATGTAAGCTTGTGCCTGAAATTTATTTATTATTTTTTGTATGTGTTCTTATCTTAGTATTTGAAATTATTGATTATTTTGTTTGCACTCTTCAATTATCAAAATGTCATGTTTTAATTCACAAATATATTTGTGATATTTATGCTTTCTTTATTTGACAACATGTTCAGTTCTAAGTGTTGCTACTACATGGAAGGGAAGACATGTTATTTTAGCTGTCACTTAACACCGTTAGTGTATCAAATGGACGGCAGTGCTATTTATAAAAGAAAATTTTAAGTTGATGCTAGTTAAGGAAGTTCAAATTTTCTAGGATAAAATATGAAAGACCAATTTATTTTAGTACCAAATACATAATTCTCCCATACACAAATGGTGCCACCATATCTCAGAACCTACTAAAACCTAAAGCAACCCATCCGTTCTCAACACCAGTGAATTAGTTTAGATCGGGGTTAGGAATCAGTATTTGGCAATGTAGTACTTTTGTTTGTATTTGACAATTATTGTCCAATCATGGCTTAACTAGACTCAAAAGATTTATCTCGTAATTTACAATCAAATTGTGTAATTAATTATTTTTTTATCTACATTTAATACTCATGCATGTGTCCAAAGATTTGACGTGATAGAGAGAGTGAAAAAACTTGCAATCTAAACAAAGCCTCGTTTAGTTCGGCCACCGAATCGGCGCCGCCGAATTTCCGGCAGCACTGTAGCTATAGTACCGTTTTGTTTTTATTTAGTAATAATTATCCAATCGTTGACTAATTAGGCTCAAAACGTTCATCTCGCAAAGTATAACTAAACTGTACAATTAGTTTTTAATTTCATCAATATTTAGTTCGTCAACATTTAGTACTCTATGCATATACTGCAAATTTAATATGACGGAGAATCTTGTTTTTGTATAGTGTCGAATTCTGGAATGGGGGAACTAAACAGGGCCCAAGGCCTTGAGTAGCAGCATCTTGAGCTTGCTGCCGTCGTCGGAGGCGAGGCCGGTGTGCCTGGCCGCGCCCCAACCTATCCTGGAGGCCCCCACCCCTGCCTGGAGGCCGCGAGCCTGGCCGCGCCCCTGGCAGCTTCGGAACATGGTCGCGAAGGGCTCGAACCCTAATCTGCTTGGGTTGCTTCTGTTTGAGCTCGTGGGCGGTGGAGGCAGGGACGACGGCCATGACGACGGGGGTGGTGACGACGATTATGGTGGCTCGGGGTTACATCGATCCCGACGAGCGCGCAGCGGGGACGGCGTCCAGGACAGCCGCGCAGCAGGGATGGGGGCTCGGGGGTACGGCGACCCTGACGAGCGCGCAGCAGGGATGGGGCCGCGACGGCGGGGATGGCGGGCGAGGCCCTGGATCTGGCTCGAGCCCCTCGACGGGGGCGCGGAAGGGGTGACGTAGCTGCTTCCGACGGCGGAGGCGTTGGTGGTCGTCGCCACTCGTCCTAGCGGATCTTTCCGTCGCCGGGGATGGGGCGGGAGAGGAGTCGCGCATGGGGGTTTTGAGTCGCCGACCGCCGCGCTCTCGGTCGTGCCGAGCGCCTTGAGGGTCGTCGCCCCTTCCGTGCCCTACTCCTGCGTCGTCTGCGGCCGCCTTTTGTTTTTTCCAGGAGAAGAAAATGGGGAGCAGGTGCGCGGGGATGGAATCGAACCCTGGCTGAGCGTTGCGCGCTGCTGGGGTGGGTGCGGGATGAGTGGGATGAGTGATGAGGTTTGGTTCCAGCAATCTTGAGTGAGCAAGAGAAAGAAGAGGCCAGAGTAAATCTTGTCCTTTTATTTGAAAGGTTAGTCGCTGCTGGGTGTAATTACTTTGGTATACTTAGGAGAGTTCACATAACTGTGATGTTGAGGTGGCTTAAGTTCACAAGCGGTGCATTGAATAGTGGTAGAGATTACCAAGGCGACAATATAATGGATTTATTATCCTTCTGCTACTTATATTAGTATGTTACTGAGTTCCCTTTAAATCTATTAGGAATTGCACATGGCACTGGGTTTATGACTATTCTTGTATGGGCAGACTTGAGTATGTGCGAAGCACACCATCGTTGGCTGAGTGGCGGCCGCGGTTGCCGGAACTGGTAAAGTGGCTCGAGGAGACCTTGAATACAAAATTTCCAAACAAGGTATTGCTGTGTGTTTTCCCCTTCTCTTTTTCCAATGCTCTGCTCTGGTCCTTTTGTGATCAAGCACTTTCTGGGGAGCAAGAGTAAACATTAGTGTTTCACCACTTTGGTTGTTTGATCCTGGTATTGTTTGAGCAGAATGACTACTACAATATGATGAAGGGACCAGTTGAGCCACAATTGCAGCCACTGAGTGCTCAGAATCAACAAACCCCACAGATGTTTGGGCAGGCAGCGCAGATAAATCAGGTCTCTGGCAGTGGTGTCGTTGTTGGTTTTGGTGGCGCTGACGAGATCCTGCAGCACCAGCTGATGCAGCCATGTCAGGAACGGACCAGCAATTTGTCACGCTACGAACTGCCATGCGCCAAAAATGTAAGCATTTATTAGTGTTGATTTTGACTAAGTAAACTATTTTGTAGGCCATGAGTTACATTTGACTTTGACTAAGTAAACTATTTGTGTGCGAAAGGATTGAGATTAGCTCTATCGTCCATGAAAATTGAAATTAATCCTTTTAGTTCCTCTCCATGTTGATGTTATGTGTTTTGGCTTGCCGAAATCCCCTTTAATGAATTATGTGTTGGTCCCACCCCTAACCTTTGACCCCAAAAAGAATTGTGGTGAATTAGTGAGTCTCGATTGGCTGAACGATAGCATTTCTAAACTAAAGTGGCAGGCCCAAATTGTTAAGATGCACTGACAATAAATATTACCATAACCTTTATACTCATAAATTTATTTCCTTTCCATAATTACAAAGGCGAGAATGGATACTTAAGTTATTGACTTCCTTTTGTATTTTGAAATTAGTTGAGTCACCTTCCTAAGCACCCAAAGTTTAGGTTTGCTGCTGATTTTTTCAAATAGAACATATATATGACTTACCTTTTAATACTGTTCTTAATCTTAAATCGGCAGCTTCGAGTATAGGAAAGAAACAGACGTCAGCTGAGTGGAGGAAGCGGTTGCCAGAACTGGCAAATCGGCTTGAGGAGATCTTGTACAGAACATTCCCAAACAAGGTATTGCTAACCCCTTCCCTTTTGGTTCTACAAAGCTTTAATCTACTAGAGTTCAAGTACATTTCTGTGGAGCAAAAATAAATCTTGCTGTTTGCACCCTTTTGGTTGTTTGATCCTGGTATTGTTTGAGCAGAATGACTACTACAATATGACGAAGGGACCAATTGAGCCACATTTGCAGTTTGCTATTAGGACACTGAGCGCTCAGAATCAACAAAACCCACAGATGTCTGGGCAGGCAGCGCAGATGAATCAGGTCTCTGGCAGCGGGGTCGTTGTTGGTGTTGGCGGCGCCGATGGGATCCTGCCGCACCAGCTGATGCAGGATATGGCAGCCATGTCAGGAACGGACCAGCAATTTGTCATGCTACAAACTGCTATGCGCGAAAAATGTAAGCATTTATTAGTGTTGATTTTGACTAAGTAAACTATTTTGTAGGCCATGAGTTACATTTGACTTTGACTAAGTAAACTATTTGTGCGCGAAAGGATTGAGATTAGCTCTATCGTCCATGAAAATTGAAATTAATCCTTTTAGTTCCTCTCCATGTTGATGTTATGTGTTTTGGCTTGCCGAAATCCCCTTTAATGAATTATGTGTTGGTCCCACCCCTAACCTCTTGACCCTAAAAAGAATTGTGGTGAATTAGTGAGTCTCGATTGGCTGAACGATAGCATATCCAAACTAAAGTGGCAGGCCCGTTCGCTTGTCTTAAATTTGGCTTGTTCGGCTTATTTTTTCAGCCGGAACAGTGTTTTTCTCTCACAACAATTCAGCCGGAACAGTGTTTTTCAGTCAGTTTCAGCCAAAGTTCAGACCAACGAACGGGACCATTACTCCCTAAATTCCAAATTGTAAGACATTTTGGCTTTTTTAGATACGTGGTTTTTGCTATGCACTTAGATATACACTATGTCTAGATATATAATAAAAATAATGTATCTAAAAAAGCCAAAACGTATTATAATTTGGAACGGAGGGAGTACCATAAACTTTATACTCCTAGAATTATTTCATTTCCATAATTACAAAGGCAACAATTGATACTTATGTCATTGACTGCCATTTATATTTTGAAATTAGTTGAATAGCCCTCATAACTCCTAAGCATCCAAAGTTTAGGTTTGTGGCTGATTTTCTCAAATAGAACATATATGACTTACTTTTTGTACTGTTCTTAATCTTAAATTGGTAGATTCGACTATCGCCCTGTTCGTTTGGGCTGGTTTGGCTTATAAACCATGGCTGAAAGTACTGTTGGCTGGTTTGATGTGAGAGAAAAATACTATTCGTTGGCTGATAAGCCATAGCTTATAAGCCAAATACGACCAAACGAACATGTTGTATATGGGAAGGGAACAGATGTCAACTGAGTGGGGGAAGCGGTTGCCAGAACTGGCAAAGCGGCTTGAGGACATCTTGTACAGAACATTCCCAAACAAGGTATTGCTAACCCCTTCCCTTTTAGTTCTCCAAAGCTTTAGTCTACTAGAGATCAAGTACATTTCTGTGGAGCAAAAATAAATCTTGCTGTTTACACCCTTTTGGTTTTTTGATCCTGGTATTGTTTGAGCAGAATGACTACTACAATATGATGAAGGGACCAATTGAGCCACAGTTGGAGTTTGCTATTAAGACCTTGGTTGATCAGCACCAGCAATATCAACAAAACCTACAGCTGCCAACGCAGACACCATCTTCATCCAGCTCAAATCAGGTATATTTTCCTTGTGCATTTTAACATTTTAATCTTTTTCATGCAACCCAAATTTGACTGGGACCAAAACTATTTACAATTTTGACCCCTGTGGTCAACACCATTATCAGTGGCATGGCGATTCAACTTGTCAAGCTCTGAAGTCTGAATATGTTGGCAAGATGGGGATGACATACGGATCTGCGCAGCGGTAGCAGGCTCGATGTTGTGCGGGAGTTACCAGGTTGAAGCCAGGTGACAGCATGTGAGAAAGAGAGGGGAGGGGGGCGGGGGTAGAGGAAGAAGATGGGGACATAACAGTTGTTTCCAATGGATTATATGTTTTGCGATGACTAGTCCGAGGTTGGATAAATTTACACTGGCACAAATAATTTAAAAAAACTGCAATTAATTAGCAATTTGCTTCACCTCCATTCACCTCAATAGTGTGGGTTACAAGTGACTACTCGCTGTGTGGCTGATTAGCAATAGCTTTAAAACAGAAGATCCAGAGTATTTGTTTTTATCAGATAACACATTCAAATTGTGTTTGGATAATGCAAATGTAGTTTGAAACATGCTGTCACTGATGTATACTGTTGCCTGATACATGATGTGAATCTTGATGGTCTCTCTGAGCTGTTTGTTGCATCCCTCCGCCTCCAGTTTGCATCCACACATGCTGAAGAGCGGGATTAAACTAGTGAAGTTCTGCACTAATACGTCATGCATCGTGTTTGCTCTCTCCTTGCTGGCATTCAGAACATCCCTTTACTGAAAATGCAGTAAGAATTTGTCATTAGCAGCATATGTGGATCCGTTCTGACTTTTGGGAGCAAGCCAAATCATACATATCCTGAGTAAATAAAATACCAGAAATGCGAAATACATTATCTTATTTATGGAGATTTATTTATCATGCAATTCCTTTTCTAATGCAGAATGACTACAAGTGCTATGATCTAGGGACAGCCTGAAGTACAGCTGATTTTCGCCACTATGACCCTCATTGCTGAGTAGTTGATATCTTGAAGCAATAACCACTCCCCAATTTCGTGTCAGGTGAAGTGTTGAGGAGTGCACCTTATTGTAGCTAGAAATGCAGCATTGCTAGTGGTCAAAACTGCATAACAGGTATTGTACGTATTGGACTTGTGGTGGAGACGTGGAGACCAAGAGTTTACTGTATTGTTTATACACTTGAACCATGAAGATATATTAACTTGGTAATTATAGTTTCATGTTTGTCTTCGTTCATACACTTGAATAGCCGGTGACAGACTTTGTGGTAACGACCAAGAGTTAACTGTATTGTTCATAGAAAAAGTTTCGTGATTGCCTCCGTTATATTTGTCTTCGACTAGGATTGTGAAGAGGTTGTTTTGGACTAGGATTGTAGTACTTTGATAGATTAGGGACCTAGATGAGTAGTTTGTTAGCTTGGGACCTAGGTGAGAGTCACATGTAGTTTAGAGACCGTCCTTGTATTTCTTTGAGTAGTTTTATAGCTTGGGATCTAGGTGAGAGTTACGTGTAGTTTAGAGACCGTTCATGTATTTCTTTGTAAAATGTGGTCTGATTCCCTTGTTTGCAAGGGATGAATCCAGTTTCCTTTATAAAAAAACAAAAATGGTGTGATGTTTGGTTCTTGCTTGTATTATTATATAATTATGGTAATAACTTTAATACGCACTGTCGTATTTTATCTAGCTGTGCGCACACACACTTACGCCCGACGCCCGCACTCATCTCTCTCTCCACGCACCGTGGTTCCTCCCTCTCCTCTTCGGCGGCTCCTCCCTCTGTCGCCTCTAGCGTTGGCGGCGGGTTCTGGAGACGGCAGCAATGATGAGGTAGGCGGCTTCCTCCTGCTTTTCCTAGATCTGCGAGTTAGTGTTCCAGCGAGCTCTCCCTCTCATCTTCCAAAACTCCGGCAGGCTTAGAAAGGGAAGGTTTGGGGGAGAAAGGCCGGCGAGACAGTGGGGAAGGCTGGATGGCGGTTAGGGGCCCTAGCGGCGGTGGAGGCGGCCGAACCAGTTTAGGGCGGGGGCGTTGCGGCAGTGCTGGCTGGCGAGCATGGCCATGGCGGCGGTGGAAGGGGGAGGGGAAGAAGGTGGCGCTGCGAGCGAGATAGGGTTTCCGTCAAAACCCTAGCCCGCCCGCGCGGGGCGATGGGCGGCGACCGCGGAGCTCCGACCAGGGGCGGACCCAACACTAGGGCAGCCCAGGCCATGGCCCTAGTCGCGGCCCATGTAACAAGGGAGCAAGTCTTCAGTTTTTTGGCCCATCATTCCATCAAGCAATCCAACAACACAGGCAGCCCAGGCGAGCAACGGTGCAGGCGCCCCCCTCATTGTCGATTGACCGGCTGACCTTGACCAGTGAGCCTCCTGCCCTCCTTCCTTGCAAGTTGCAATAGGTTTGGATCTGAAACTGATTTAATTTCAAATTTTTAATTTTTAAGTTCCCAATTTTAACCATTTGATTCTAATTTCTAATTTCTCATTACGGTATACAATTTTGGCTGCTAAGATTTGGCCCTAGTCTTGGCCAAATCCTGGATCCGCCACTGGCTCCAACGAAACCCTAGCTCGTGCGTGGCGCTTTTCATTGTTATTATTGGCGTTGAGGAATCATCGCTTCCTCGGTCGCTCAGCCTCGACGATCCCCAAGATCAGAAATCACCAACGTTCCGCTTCTCCCCGCCACCGTCGCCGGCGGCCGTACGGCTGATCAAATCGTCACCTGTGCAGGATGTCGGGGCAGATGGACCAGGTCGACAGCAGCTTGGTACCGGCGGCGCCAACGGCCAAGCGCACCACCACCAGCTGGTGGAGGACGCAGCTGGCCTCCCGGCGACGGACCAGCAGTTCGTGATGCTGCGCACCGCCATGCGCGAGAAGATGTAAGTTTCTGTCTATCCAGTGCTGACTTCACCGATCACAGTTACAATCAGTTTTACTGAATTAGTGAGGCACTTCTGGCTGCCTAGACTGCTAAACAGGGAATCCAAGATTTCTGAAGTGTGCCCGTATCAATTTTTTCCACAATACCTATATTTCCTAATTTTTGTGATGCCCAAGGCGACAACGGATTTTTTTACACTTAGTACTACTTGTATGTATGTTACAGAATTCCCTTCGAAATTATTTGCACAGAAATTTCTATACTAGGGGTAGTTGAATCTTGCATGTGGCTGGTTTTGTGAACCCAATAGAAGGTATAACTTGTGGCCATATCAACTTTTCTAGTATAATGCAAGAGTTATTTCCAAATTTCCATAATTACCAAGTCGGCAATGGATATATTGTATAAGTACTACTCAGCATGTTATTGTATTCCCTTCTTATGAGGAATTGCACATAAATTTCCGTACTCCGTACTACCCCAACATTTTTTTTAGTGCATGTGGCGGATTTTGTGAACCCAGAAGGCATGGGAACTATTCTTAGGCCCGTTTAGATGCAACCCAAAACCTAAAATTTTTCAAGATTAACGAATTTTTTTAGTGCATGGAGTGGCGGATTACACAGTTTTGAGACGAATCTTTTAAGCCTAAATAGTCCATAATTGGACAATTTTTATCAAATACAAACGAAATTATTACAGTAGCCAAAAGCCAAAAATTTTCGAAACTATACACGCCCTTAAATCGGCAGACTAGAGTATATACGAAGGAAACCATCGTTAGCTGAGCGGCAGCACCCGGTGCCGGTGCTGACAAAGTATCTTGAGAAGATCTTGTATACAAAATTTCCAAACAAGGTACTGCTATCCCCTTCCCTTTTTCTTTTGCGAAGCTTTGTTCTACTAGAGATAAGTACATTTCTAGGGAGCAAAAGTAAATCTTGCTGTTTCACCCTTTTGATTGTTTGATCATGGTATTGTTTGAGCAGAATGACTACTACAATATGATGAAGGGACCAATCGAGCCACAATTGTTGTTTGCTCTTAAGACCTTGATCGCTCGGAACCAGCAAAATCAACGAAACCCACAAGTGGAAAGGCAGACACCACCTTCATCCAGCTCAAATCTGGTATATCTTTGTGCATTTTAATTTTTAATACTTTAACCTTCTTTGTTTAACCTAAAATTTTTACCAAACCAAAACTATTTACTATTTTGGCCCTCACAGTCAACACCATACCTTAGAGAGATGGGCATGAGGTCACGGCAGGCAACGAGAGGACGACCCTCCAAGGGTTTCCACCGCTGCAACCGTCGGTGGAGGTGACCTATGCCTCAGCCCCCTCTGTCTCCCCCCATGTCTCTCCCTTCCATCTCTTCTTGCCTCAGTTTTTCACCACTGAGTCGCCCCATGTAGCTTCCTCATCTATGGTTGTCGTTGCCATCATCTCTGTCTCTTCCTGCACAGCCAACTCTCTTGGTGCCCGCCCTTAGAGCGCCCATCCCTACCTGCGGTTGCCATCTCTCCACCACATGTCATCATTGTGGATGACGGGGTCGCTAGGTCCCCTTGTGGATCGAGTGTCCCCCCATCAACAACTCCCAATGGCGCTCCTGACTCCAGAAGCTGAGCCCCCATCTCGGTCACCACCAGTTGCACGGCCTCATTCACCAACTCTGCCAGCCTCCATGGTCGATATTGCCAAGGCAATAGCCCCTTTATATGGCTAGTGTGAGGTACTGGCATTTAGGTAAGCTTATTCAAACAATAAAGTTAAAGTATGTGGACTACACAATGCCTCGTTTACTTGCCTTTACCGACGATCAAGAGAAGAGATGGGTATGCTCCAAAGGCAAACCACCTTATAGAAGCAAATCTCAATAACAACACGGCAACACCATTATACAAACAAACAGAAACATGAATAACACACTAGAGCCCCACAGCCACCATTCAAGCACCTACCAATGCACTACCATTCATGACAGCTGCACTATCACTACTACACTCGTAATTTTCACAGCCGCGTCGTAACCCACATCGCAGTCCAATTTCGGCCTCGGCAGTAAGCTGTCGGCAATGATACTCATAGCCATCACCGTTGGTAGCTGAGACCGACTAGGGTGTACACTACACCACTGTATTGGCTTATCATTCGTCCATGATAAGTTTCTTACTTCCATCGCATTGGAACACGACCCGCGTGTGTGGGTATGCACTAACACCGTCACATAGCTTATGATCCGTCCGTGATCAGATCCTTATTCCATCGCATTGGAGTGTGACCCGCATGTGTCGAGACGAAT